GAATATGTGTACATATTCCCTCATCTGTATGAGAGAGTCTTGTAAATAAGCATGCAGCTTTATTTCTTTCTGCGGATCAAGACAGTCATATTTAAAATATATTGCGCATTTCACAGGATGGTAATATTGGTATTTTCTCTTTAAATTATTGAACATACAGGTATTTGCATAAACATTTTATATATTTACAGTGAGCATCCATTAAATATATTCCTATAAATGAAAACATACCTGCCAACTTTCTTTTTGACCAAGTAGAAAGCATGGTTGTGGGAAAAATAGACTTTTTGGATTTCATCAGATATACATTCAGTGTGTCCAGTTAGATACAAAGGTTTCTGTTCAGCCCTTCAACATATGGTGTGTGTTGCCATGGATATGTGTATTTTCCTGTAGCTAGAGGTCAGAGGGTTCCTTGAAGGAGGACTTTCATACTGAAATAAATTTAGAATAAAAACATTTATACCAAAAATATGGACTTAACCAGCACTTTTCTGTGCTACTTTTGCCGTTATTGAATATATTTGTCATAATTAGGGGTCTACTTAAATCGCGGAGAAATCACACATTTTTCGCAGATTGGTCACGGCATAAATAGCACATTTCGCAGATGTGTAACACATCCGTGAAATTTGCTATTTATACCGTGACCAACCCATAAAAAATGTGTGATTTCTCCACAGCGTTTCTCAGACTGGGGCCCTGACCCAAAAAGGGGTCGCAAGCCTATTAGGGGGTTGCGGTATTGGCATCCTTCCTTTTCCGCTGCTGACTGTGGCACTGCCTGAAGCTTAGCAGCGGGAAATCTGCGGCTGCTGCCCGGGTGCCCAGCTCTGCAAGCAGCAATGCCGCCAGCAGCAGCAGCAGTATTGAAGAGTGGAGAACAGCAGCTGCTGGTGGCCATATCATGCCACCCTTACTTCTCCGCTGCTGCTGGCCACAGCGCTGCCTTCAGAGCTGGGTACCCAGCCAGCAACAGCTGTTCTCCACTCTGCCTTCAGAGCTGGGTAGCCAGAGACCAGATTTCACGTTCCGTGATGTGATTTTCACGGCTGTGAATTTGGTAGATCCCTAGTCATAATAAAGACTTTATTAGTCACATTCTTGCTTTCTCTTCTGCTTGATCTTGCAGTGAAGTCAATTTTATATAATGAAATTCTTATATCACAATTTAAGCATTATACCTTTACTGTAGAATCAAATATGAGAAGAGATGAGACGTGACATCACTTTTATATAAACTATGTTGCGTTAGCGATTAAGCACAAGAATAACATCAGCCTTAAGATTTAGTGTTCTAGCCTTATGTATTTGAAAAGTACCCCTGTATAGAAATCTCTCTAAATCCTCTTGTTTTCAAATTATTGGGTTTAGTTTTCTCATAGAGGAAACACATGCACATATGGACGCTGTAGAATGACAATAGGCGGAACCCAAAATTGGAGATTACGTGAAAACAGGAGAAATATACATATTGAAAACTTTCACTACACATAGACATTTCCTAAGATTATGTCTAGATTGCATTTATTGGGCATGATTGCAGCTCAAGTTGACATACCTGA